CTGAAAGTCCTGTTTTGTAACTTTGAAATCTACATTGAAAAATGACATTTTAATCTCTACCACTTGGCTGTAGGGGGCCAGCTTGGTGTAATTATGTTTTCCTCTCTTCCAAAGGTAGGTGAAAGCTTCAAGACAAAAGTATTATACTTCCTTTCTTTGTCTTTCAGAATGAGCCAGCAGGTGTCAAGCGTGGGAAATCAGGAGTCCGGGCAGTTCAAAAGAATATATAGGCTTATTGCATGCTATAGCTCTTTACAAGGAGCTCTGAACTAACAGTCAAAGCAAGTTGGCCGTAGATAAGAATCAACAGAATTCAAGGTGGGCTGGACTTAAACCTTTTGTGGGAGCAAAGGGACTCGAGACTGGTGACATGTTTGACCCCCTCCCTCGAGCTCAGCCTGGTCATCTGCAGTGGGAGATCCCAAGAGGAGCTACTGTCACAAAAATCTTTAAGGATTATATCCTCATAGTGTCCAAATTACAAGGAAGAAGATCAAGAGTTGCATTCCATTGTCCAGAGTACATGAAATAGAATAATTGTCCTAAATTACAGAATACAGAATACGATTGAATGTTGGGAGCTGACGGGGTGGGTGGAGACGAGAACAATTTAACAAAGGAATCCAAGTAGTAATAATTCCTTTTTACTGGATCCTGGCAAGCAGTAACCAGACTCCCTTCTAGCATGCTTTACTGTGGTATCCCACCCTGATTGAAAAGTTGAATTTAAAGGCCTAAATAGTCCCTTTGTGATGATTCTATGAATTAATTTTAAAGAAAGATACTTTTCAGATAAAGACTGGCATATTATTACTAATGTATAGTAATAATTGGGTTCAGTGGTGCTGAGGCAAGGAAATATTTAGGTTTATATCAAAATTGGTTTTTTTTATCAGCTACAAGTAGTGCCAAAGCAAGATTGTGCATTGTATTAAGGTGGCGGCTTCATTTTAAACTTCTGAGGTGGGAAGCAGAAGTCTGTGTGTGTGTGCATAGGGTGTGTGTGTGTGAATTTTTTTAGTGTCCTCAAAATTC